ATATTTGTCAGGACCCGAGTTCGATTCCTGGTACTTGCAGTCTCAAAAATAATTATTTACGAATAATTAAATATAAGAATTATTTCCAAGACCACTGATGAAAGGTATTTGGCAATACTCGAAACAGCTGTATGGTCAGCCAAAAATTCAATTAATTAAAATAATTAAAAAAAAAAAAAATAAAATTTTTGTTGTTGTTTCACTTCTGTTCGAAAACCTCTTTATATAAAGAATTATGTTATTACTGTAACCACACTACCTATTAAATTATATGTTTGTTAGTTCATCTCGGTAACATTAAAATCATTTTGTGATACCAATTAATATAATTTACCTATATTATTCGTCATTTTCAAGCGTTTCAGAACAGAATAGCTTATTTGTCTTTGAAAGTGTTTTAGTCTGCCTAGCAGATGTGCTTCAATTAATCCACTTAAATTTATTACTACACTAAATGGAATTTATGCATTAAAAAATTGTTAAAATTTTCTTATGAATGACTAGGTTAAGTCTGAGTTTATAAGTGCTAATACCACTAAGCCAATTTCCCATTTATTATTGTATTAAACAAATACATTAGAAAAATGCATAAAGACTCTATTCTTTTATTTACTTCTATTGGTTATAAGCAAATGCATTGAAGAGCCACATAGACATTTTGTTCCTTCATTTAGTTGCTTTGGTTTTAGCTTTGACATATCTAAGATGGGAAGTCAACCTATAATACAGTATAATAATACAATTAATAGGTGACTTGATAGTTTTTTTTTTAAAAGATTATTTCAAAATTAATATTTGAAAAAGAATATATATATAATTTAAATAAAATAACTTTTAAATTCTTATTTACATTTATTTTTAAAGCATTTTCACTTACTTTTTTTGACTAACTATATAAATCAAAATTATTAGTTTCTATTTGTGGATACTAAGTTTAGACAAAGAGATATATTCCCAAGAATTTTTCATACCATAGTACTTTTTACATATTTCAAAAGGAGAACATGATTTGGTTTTTCCCCACTTTTCATTATATACGTTAGTAAAGAAAAAATTACGTTTATCAAAATCTTTGTGAGATATACATATACAAAGTAATCTGTGTAATCCATACGTATTATCATAACCAGTATGATTAGTTCCATCGATTGGGTGTTGTTTAACATATGTGTTTATTTGTCACTGAACTAGACTTTCAGTTATTGAGTTTATCAAATAAAAGTTTACTCATAAGCTCTTTGCTAATTTAGTGAGATTATTTAGTCAAAAAATACATATAGGAGCGTCAAAAATAAAATTATTATGTATAGATTATAATTTATTAATTTAGAACTAAACTCTCCGTGGTGAAACTAGGCCAAAGTCAATGAAAGTTTTTGATCACTTCTATTGCTACGCTTAGTTTGATACATGTAAACATAAACACAGAGAATAGAATTAACTAGAGAACATAAAGGTTTATAAATTCTAATATAACTCTAAATGCACTAATACAATTAATACAACAAAAGTTGTATTAGACATCTGCATTATAAACAATAATTAAACTTAAACTACTTTATGGCTATGTGCCTTATAGCAGTACTGCTGCATCCAGACTTAGAAAGCTTTATTAAGATGTGTCCCAAATGCAGCTGATATATCAAAAATAAGAATAAACGCAAGGACTTGAGAATCGAATGCGTATAAAAGTAAATCAAATACAGGGCATTGAAATTGCTAGATTTTCTGGACTCTAAGGCTAATTCAGAATTGCACACTCTTAAAACAAATGAAATATAGCTTTCAATTAAGATTTACAGGGCTATACTTCTGTAAAGTTACAGATGAGGTACCAAGATCCACTAGGAAATTAAGGTAACAGAAGAAGAATGTTACAGATGTATAACCCTTCCATAAAGTCTTCAAGTTATAATTCTATGAAATCTACAGATTGACTCATTATCATATATTAATGCAACACTAGTTTCAGTGGACCACCCAAGTGAACACAGACACTATTGAGTAAAAGTGCTTCAGATACTAACTCGCATTTTATCAAGCAAAAAAGAAGAAGCAGAAGAACTAATAAAATAAGTTTGAAGAAATAAGTTTTTAGTGTTGCTAATTGTTTTTAACCATTAGACAGATCATTTTTTAGATACTTGGAGTGAGTTCTAGTTTCTTTTGGATAGTGATTTGGACTTTTACGATTTAGTTTTTCACTGGTCAAGTGTTCAGCGAGAGGTAATTTGTGAGTTTATTCAAAGAAGTGAAGAGAAATGTTTATAATTCGGTATTTCCGCAAGTTATTATTTTATGAACTATTATGATTATTTATTATTATATTGAATAGATTCTCATAAATATGAAGGTGCGGTTTTTATAATTTGGTATTTAAGTGAATTATTTTTTCATATAGGTGCTATAGGTTTTTACATACTTATGTTAACACATATAACTTACACATATGATATATTTGTAATCGTTTGATTATTATTAATTATAATTATTATTGCACATTACTTAATAAGTACTTTGGTTTTGTTAAATATTACAAACACATTATAGATTTTTTTTTTGAAACATTAAACAAATATTTTATTTAAAACATATTCATTTTGATTTTTTAGGTTATATTTTCTATTTTATTTTCAATACAATTACATAACATTGAAATTTATTGTCGAATTTGATTTCAAAAAAGAATGAATTCATATTTAATGCATTATTGAAATAAATTAATTATTTGCTTCGTACATTTCCGCTTATGTCACTAAAAATTCACAAAAATTTGAACAAATAGTGCAAAATTTATATATGAAATTTGAATAACTTAAGGCACATTCATTTCGCCATTATTCTAACCTTAACAACCGTGAGTGGATGTTCAAAATCAGAGCCTCCCACCAACCGAAATCCCCAGGGCACGTTGTCGAAGCGACACATTTTTATATCGATCACCATATTTGCTTTTATGTAAATATTATTTATTTATAAATTTCCGTACAATTAAATAATTCGGTTGCCTTGCACTTTGATTGTTTTAAATAAATTATTTGATTTTTGTAAAATTTTCAACTTCGTTTGCTTCCATCAATTGTTTCGCACAATCTGCTATAAATATTTGCGATATATTTGCGATATATTTGCGATATATGTGCGGTGTGGACGCCCGACGTCGTCTACATCTAATGCAGAAATTTATATACGTACAAATATCTGTTAATACAGCAACCAACCACCTATCCAATATATCTCTCTATCTATATCTGTGAATATGTGATATATTGTGTGAGTTTGCAGGCAATATGAGTTTCACTCAACAACTGTTGCTGTTGATGTTGCTGTTGCGTTGCTGTTGACGTTTCGCTGTTAATGAAATTTATGTCTGCGCCGCACCGTATCCACTCGTTCTACTAAACTCAACGTGACTGACAGCAATTTCGCATTGAATGGATATCGATCTGATTCGATTCGATTCTATTCAATTCAATTTGAAGCGATGCGATGCGATCTGTTAGGAATAGATTCGCATTGTTATAGAAATTGTTAACGAAAATACAAAAATAAAATGCTGAAATAAAAACGTATATAAAGAGTTTTTGTTTATTTTCTTTTATTTCCCTTTAAATCTACTTTTTATTATTGCATTTTGTCATTTATTGTTGGCGAAATTTCATTTATAAATTTTCGCAAAATTTGTGATAATGGTTTGGGTCAAACAATACTCACAGATACTTTTGCCGGTTTGCCGGTTGCTTAAGTGGAAACATGTTTCGGAGAAAAGTCCATTTAATTATATTTTTATACAATGTATCTTTAATTTTAGAATTCATTGTTTACTCTTTCAACCCACATAACTTAAAATAAATATAGCTAAAATTAATGAAAAGGTTAAAGTTAATATATTATATGGATTAAGTTTTTAGCAAATCAACTTTCCTTAATACAGAAGATATTGTTTAGCTTTTACTATAATTAGTTTCCGAAAGCTAACCAGATAAGAAAGGGAATATCTTCAATTTTAACAATCACACTTTGAAGTTATTTTAAAAAAAGAGCTCTTTGCTGTTTCATCAGTATTAATGTAATTTTTTTTTTTTGAAATATAATCATTATTGTATTAAAAATAAATATTTTGTTATATCAGATTTGTAGCCTTTGTACATTAAACATTAGATAACAGAAAGGGAGTAGTGATGAAAATAGTCTTCATTGAGAGCAAATGATGGAAGTAATTACATACACGTGGATATTTTCTACAGAAAAATGATTGATTTTAATAAATTAATTAAGTATTAAATTGATTTATAATGTCCGTTTTGGTAAAAGAAACTAAAATTTTTAATATAAAGTATTGTTTTCAACAGAGAAGTATTCTAAATTGTAGTAAATCACAACAACAAAATTTTATTATTTATTAATTAATTGAACACAAGAAACAGTAATACAATCATGCAATAAATAATGCCTCTAAAAAAGAATAGTATACGAATTCAACAATTAATAATATAAATATAATTAATTAATTGAATTATTCTACAATTGATTTATGATTTCTCAGCAAGTGAATTTCTTAATTAACTTTCATAGCATATTAACAAAATTCGAAGTCTGAATATAAAAGTCAAGTGAAGCTTTAGGTAAGTTGACTAATGAATACTGACTCTGAGCTTCAAATTTGGCAGGGCACGAGTTCAACCCTTAGTACTTACAGTATCAAAAAAATATTTACGAATAATTCGATATAAGAAATAATTCCCAAGACTATTGATGATAAGTATTATATTTGGCAGTACTCGACTGTATGGTCAGTCAAAAATTCAATTAATTGATATATAATATAAATTAATTATATATAACTAATTATTTAAATATATCAATTAAAAATATATGCATAAAACTATATTATTTAATTAATAATAATTAATTAACAATGTTGGTTAATATAATTATTTAGTTAAAAATATATTTTTTTCAAACTTGAATTAAAATTTTTTTAATTGATATTTTATTTAAATAATATATACGCACACCATTTACGAGAAACTGTCGATAATGACTAAACGTTTATCTGCAACACAGCCTATATGTGCTGCCAAATCCAATTCCACATATCCAAAAATAAAGAAGCCATTCATATCCTTCTCTCACTTCTTCACCAGATATATGAAATAAATTTATTCCTGCTCTATTGGCAGGTTTTTTTAAATTATAAATAAGTCGATTTCTTATTTATATGTTTAATGTTCTCTTAAATAGAATAAAAAAGATATATATACTATATCCATTCCGTTGAATTTTAGTAATTTAACAGATTTTAAGCCCTTATTAATGAACATTCCAACATACTGGCAAAAGAGTACTTTCCTGAAATACCTGGTATTTCTAGGAACCATATATAGACAATCACAGAAAAATTGTTTGATTCTTACCACATCTTTTACGAAGAGTATTAAAAAGAATATGCAGTTTCTCTGCTTACGTTCCCATAAAATAAAAGCGGTTTAAAGTAAACCTTGTAATATTCACCTAGCCTCCCTTGAAAAATTTTCAAGATCTGGTAGTCTTGTTATATAAAGACCGTGTTGGTCATTACAAATACAATGGCCATTTGCATCCGAAGTATTAAATATGGATGAATCTCCCATTTTTGCCGAACATTGTTTTGCAATAGAATACTACACATGCCGTCTTGACCCCTAACACCGTATTGGAAGAATAGGTTACATGCACCTTCTTGACATGTTACTTAATATTAGATTTCTTATTTAGGTTATTATACAACAAGAGTACAAGACATTTGATTGATTATAAATGTATTCCATCTAATAAATTTCCATCCAATTTATCCTAACTGTAATAACCTGCACATCGCTTATTATGTTAGGAAATATTTCTGATAAAATGACATCACACTCTGTGGCTCTGCGGAACGAAATATCTATTGAATTAGCTTAAGTCTACAGAATGGTTTTGTCAAAAAAATCGTTATTTGTGGTAGGCTGAAATATGTCTGCTAACCTTCCACAGCAACCAACTAACGAACAAAGCCTCTGTTAACATTATTGATTGTAGTTAGGTTTTCCAACTTTGACTGAATAGTCGTTCTTTATATTTTGACTATCCATTTCCTGAGATCTTCTTCTCTAAAACAGCAAAATATCCTTTAACAACAAATATAGAAATAAACAGCACTGTGGTGAATTCAAGCAACTGATTTATGGATCGCTCTCGTAGAAACATTTATTATACACTGACTGTCCTCTTTAACAATTTGATTAATAGAGATGTGAGAGTCGATTCAGTTGAAAAATACATTAAAGATCGTGCTCTGAAACTGTTCAATATAATTGACAGTCACAATAATCTAACTCTCAGCATCCTAAAAATACAGCGGAATTTGATAAACATAGGCAGATACAAAGACATCAGATCCATCATATTATAAAACCCCGTATTCAGTTATTCTTAGTGTGACTTAAAACTGTCCACAGATAAAATAGAGATAAAATAGATAAAATAGGTGCTGATTCACCAACTCAAACATCTGAATATCAATAATTTGTTTATATTTTTTTTTATCGTATTCTCTATAAGAAAACATATAGCATTGTTTTGAAATTGTAAAAAATGTTTTCATTTCTTCTCTATAGCCTCAATATGCTTATTGTGTCTTGCAATTTTCAAAAAATTCTTTTAACCAATTAAATCTAAAATAGATTTGGGTATGTCTTCATACTCGAAACAGCTGTTTAGTCAGCCGAAAGATTCATATAATTTTTAAGTAATGAACAATTTTTGTTGTTGTGATTCACTACTGTTTAAACTACACGCCTCTATTAAAATATAGAAATGCACATGGCTTCTTTTCTCATCTATTGTCATAATTAATATTAAAAATTAAATTTGAAATAGTTTCTAATTAATAAAAATTATAAAAAATGTTTAACTTGTTGTATTTTGATTTATTATATAGAATGAAAAATTAATTTTTTCTGTCAGTTCTTGTATTATTTATTAATAGTTTATTATCTTTTAAAATATTATATATATTATATTTTTTTATAATATTATTTATAATATTCTGTAATGGAGTACAATAATTCATATTTTCTAGTAATAATAAAAAATCTATTACTTGCAATTATTTAAAATAATTTATGAATATAATTCTCTGTAATATTATTTAGTTACATTTCCTATACAAACGAAAATATATTTTCAAGATAATTATTAAACATAAAATTTATACAAGAACTTCTTTGGGCTAAAATTTCCTATGTAAACCTATTAAATTACACAAAATTCCCATAAAATTAAATTATAACAAAATAAGATTTATAAATTGTTTAAAATATATATTAAACGATTTATATACGAATTTATAATATTCACTTAAAAAAGCTTAAAACATTTGTGTGCAATATTTTAAAAAATTTCATAATTTATAACTGCTGTAATGGGATACCAAATTGCATGCCCAAATGTTGTTGATAAACTTCTAAGTACTTGAGCCTTATAAATTTCCAATGAACTCTGAAGAGTTTTATTGCACAAAACGTTGATCCCACAATATTTATTAAAATTGTACTGACTCTGCGTTTACAATTTATGTTGTCACAAATTTTTAGCTTAAACACAATTGCATAAACTCGTACATAAATAAAAAAAAGTCACACAAACAACAACAACAGTTTCACATATGTATCTAGATAGATGCGTATAAGGGTACATATACACAGATTTGCTATACAAATAGTAGAGGATAAATTTTACTAGTTTTGTGCTTTAGCAGCATGAATCTTTGCAAAAGATATGAATTATCATTACGATTGTCAATGTCAACAATTTGCACAAAACAACATACAAACAGACAGACAAACTAGCCAACTACCAGCAAACATAAATACAAGCTTATATCGTCATTGGTATATATATAGTACGTGTATGTGTTTATATGTATATAGGTTTGTTTATTATGTGGCACAGATACAATACTTACCAAGTTCCAGATATAATGGCACAACAAGTTACACATAAAAACAGCAATCCGCACTGCCCCAATATGTTTAACACTGAAATGAATGAATAGCAGTGGAAGGCGGCAATGGAACTGAATTCAGCTAGCACCGGAAATAGCCACATTCCATTTGTACATAATGAAAAGTTATCATGAAAATTTTATATGTTGAACCCTTGGCAAAAGGGATGCCATTTATTGTATTAGCCTTTTTTGTGTTTTGTGTTTTGTTTTTATTTTTATTTCATTTTTTATATCATTTTCATTTCTGTTTTTTGGATTTCTCGTTCATATGCTCCTCTGTCTGTAATTGTAAAAACTAAAAATGAGAAAAAATATCATAAAAATAAAAGGAAAGAAATCTCATCGTAAAAGTTACGCTGAACAAACTCAAAATGACCAATAAACTACAAAA